TCCTATGCAGTCGGGTAACTGAGTAGCCTTCGTGGACCCTCGAGAATAAATATGCAGCTGAGTCTAGTCACATACGAGTGTTTGCGGTCCCCCTCATCCGAATCTTCTTTTTGTTTTATCGAAACTTTGGGACAGGGCACTCGTGTTACTTTTCCTTTCTTTCGGGATTTCCCCAGGAGTTTTGAGAATTTTCTTTTACTTGAGTCTTTTTCGTTAATTTTCTCGAGTTTTCCGCTTTTCCTCGGATTTCCTGGATGACGTTTTCTTCCGGACTTTGCTTTTTGAGATGCATTTAGCTTTGCTATACTTAAGAAACATCGGATCTCACGGGCGTACATGTTTGCTTTATATTTTTCAGTACTTTATTTTCCTATTTTCTACCTGCTACTGCTCTTCTTGTACAACATGATTATGTCATTTCTGCTTCTACCTGCTACTCTACTGTATAGTATGTCATATTACTCCTGTTTTTTTTTCCACCTGCTACTGTACTGTATAGCATGTCATATTACTCCTATTTTCCACCTGCTACTGTACTGTACAGCATGTCATATTATTCATATTTTCTACCTACTACTGCTCTTCCTATACAACATGTTATATCATTTTCGTTCCTACCTGCTACCGTACCGTACAGCATGTTATATTATTCATGTTTTTACTTGCTACTGTTCTTCCTGTATAGCATGTCTGTATAGCATGTTATACTTGTTTCTACCTGTTACTGTTCCACATGCATTCTACTGTTTGTCCTGTATTGCACATTTTATATTATATAGTTTTAATCATGCCTCCCTGTATATGCATTCTACTGCTTTAATCATGCCTCCCTAAGTACAAATCAAATCTTTAGGATCATATATTACACACACACAAACATACTTCAAAAATTAAATAGCCAAAAATCCTAAAATATAATATCAATTCCAATTTGATCTTCATGATACAAAGAATATTTTTTTATAACTGTGTAATGAGGCTGTACATCAATCATCCCCCAAACATTTCGTTAAACCCGGCTTCGAGCTATATATCAAAAATTGAGTCAAGTGATTGCATCATGGCCGAGCTAACAAGTTACAAGTTGAACCACATAATCAAAGATGACATACGCCCAGTATGATTCAATACAGCCTAGATTCAACCTAATTATCATGTAAATCAAAATGACAATCATGACCAACTTAAAAGATTTACTACTGATCCAAACAGAATAGCTAAGAAAGTTGACTAAATGTGCAATCTAAGGCTACATAATTAGTTAGTATTATAGTTAGTCTTGAGATGTTTTTCAAATCCAATAACTGACAGATTGGGCTAAGTCCAATGAAATAATGGGCATAGATTGTAAATCTTAAGATCAAACCGATCAATTAACCCAAATTGACATGTCTTAAAAAAAAAACAAGCAATACAAGGCCAAGCACTTTGTTGGCAAAAACAAGAAGTTTTCTCCACAATTTTCTGTCAAATTAAGAGTTCAGCGAGCAAACATTCAGCCAAAACAACCAAAAAATAGAAGGCAGAACAGAAAGGTATGACAAAACTAAATGAACTGTATGATTAATTGGCAATGTAAATCTAAATTTTGGATATACCAAATAACAAAAGACATAATTAAAGCAGTGCATTGCATGTACCTGAAGAAACTCTTTCCAACCAGAGGGTTCAATCTGTTCTATCCTTTTGGTTAAACGATGAGATTTAGTTTCTAAGCGCCTAATTTTTTCATTGTTGAAATTAACCATATCCAAAACACTTTTGAATTCTTTAAACCCCTTTGTGTTTGTCAATTTTTTCTTCAAACGGGAAACCCTTGTCCTTTGCTCCCTATAACAGTTGATAGCATCTTGATATTCTTCTGACCAGTTTTGCACCTGAATATAGTAAAGCTGGTTAAAAATTATAGCACAGAATAAATTTTTAAGCATTGCACAAGAAAAAATTGAAGATTTGAAAATATAAAACAAAAACTTCAATGATTAAGAGTCCCATATTAATAGATTTCAAAACATTTTAGACACGCAAGTTTGTCGATAACACAAATCTAGTGATAGTTTCTGTCAAACTAAAATCTCTCTATCAGACAACCATTATGGAGGGTATAAATTACGTGCCTTAAAACCACGTCACTGGCTGAAGATGAGTTATTCAACAAAATCTTCTTGTGCCTTAATATTTTCAAAAATCATTAAACCATTTTGTCAATATCTACCTTTTTTAAATACATGTAAAGTTCTTATTTTTACATTAAACAATTTACACAGTTTAATAGGTACGAACTTATGGGTTGGTATGAAAATATTCAATAATAAATTAATTTGAAAAGCTTATGCTCCAATATATACACACCTCATCATCTTCCGAAAGACTACTCAACACTGGAACATTTAGACTCCATGACCATGTCTCAAGTGAACCTTCTGCGCTCCATAGAGATCCAAACTCAGATTCTGATAGCTTTCCCCATGCAATCTCCTCCTCTGTTAAGAGTCCCTTCAAAATTTCTCTTGGTAAAGCTTCACCATAAGCTAAAGAGACGTCAGGAAGGCCAATCTTGTATATCATTTTAATCCACTTTTCTGAAAATAAATACCAGGAGTTGTCCGAGCCCAAAGCTACACCATATGATGGGTTGCTGCCATTCTGCTCTTCCGCATATGCAAGCTTATTCTTAGACCGGTCAATGTTAGAATCATCGGGATCTAGATGAAACTGTCGCAGTAAAATTTAAGAATAATGTGATTTCCAACCATACAAAGAAAAATCTATAAATGAAAGTATAACTGTTCTGATGATCACAGAGAAAATTGTTACCAAAATTTATATATAGAATATACTCATCACCACTAACAGCATTCCAAGGGAAGAGAAATAAAATAAAAACACGAGTTACATGACAATAATTAAAAAAAGGGTGGGTTCTGGCTACATTGCCCACAGTAGCAATGTAGTTACCTAAATAATAAAGAAAACGAAGAAAACTAGATATAGCTTTAACCTATCAATAGAATATGACTCACTTCAAAAAATCTCAGTAAGCAATCACATCAACATCAAAAACATTATGCAACATCCTTCGTAGATTAGTGAGTCCTCGTTGAAAAGAAGAGGCGCATCCCAATATTATTTCAATTTTTTTTTTCCCATGAGCCATATGCCACGGGGGTTTAAGGCGTGCATCTCAAAATACTAAATACAAATAATATTAAATAAAATAAATGCCTGCAACCCTTCTAAATACTCTTACGAGTGGCTTTGATTATTTGTTAATGTTGGTTTGAAAGTGGAGAGAGACTTATTGTGATGAGCTTACTTTGACTTATTATATACTTTGACTTATTATGTTCTCACTTTAATATCCTAATTTAGTGTTGGTATGACTCTTCTTCATACTTCGATATTAGAATGTTGATATGACACTTATTGCTTTGCACAATGTGTTGATTATGAGGCTTACACCTCACAACGCTTTGAGCTTGACACCACATCTAAGGACAAAATATTTTGATGCCCAATTACGCAATTTCAAACCTTACCAAGGATTCCAGTTTGAAATTCTTCAGCATAAATACATCATGAGCACTCATACCTACTTTTCATGAACAGCATAATAGCTTTGAAGCAATAAGAAATGAAATTAGTAGAAAAGTAGCTCATATAACACATGGGATAATTAAAAATTCATAAGCCAATAAAGATTTATATGTTAAGAAGAGAATAACTAATCAAAAGTATATGTATTACATAGATTAAAGTTAAAAGCTAGCAATATATAATATATAGATAAAGAGTACTAACTACTTGAGTTCGAGAGGGTTTAATTTGACTTAAAAATTAAGAATTCCAATTCCTACTATAATTTGCAATCAATTTGAGCTGCCCTACTCAACTCTAAATCAATTTAGCAACTTCAAATTTAATTTTTTAGGATCCACTGGATTTCAATAGAGCTTCATATTAAGTTGCTAAAGTGACTCTAAGATGATAAATAATAAAATTATGACATTTCATCTATGGATTTGAACTTTTTCCATTGAACTCAAAATTAGTCTTCCACTATAAGAATGTTTAAAAAAAACAGGAAAATTCATTATAAAGTTAATTACTTCTATTAATGGTTTTAAAAAACGAAATGCATTTGCCCTCATCTTAGCTCCAGCATAAAGATATAAACATAGTTAGTTTAGATTGATAGGCGTAACATGAAATATTTAGTAGGAGAACATTTTTATCCATTAAATAAATTAATTTTTTTTAAATTTTAATGGTGAAATTTCGACATGAAACTCTCCTGTTGTTTTATAGTATTAGAGAAAATTCCTCATTGTGAACCATTAATATGCATAAAAATTTGTCAAAACATAATAATCATGCTCATTAGCATCTCGCCATTTCAGTATGAAAGCATATACTGACGTTTTTTTATTCAACAGATAATAATAAAGCCTTGTGCCGTGGGCCCTATAAATTCAAAAGTATTATTAAAGGGGTATGATAGAACAATCAAACTATATAATATGAAGGGTTATTCCTACATTAGATTATAACTTTCTTCCTTCTTTTTCCCAACATCGCATTCAATAATTTGTATAAGGAGTTGTTTGGTTGGATGTTTCATAATGCAAGCAATTTAGAAATACAAATTAAAATACATGCATTTAAGAAATGCAAGGGTTGTTTGTTCGGATGCCAATGAAACATATTGAAATAAATTTATAAGTTTGTTAAGATCAATTTTGAATACTCACTCACTCGTATCTTTACTCTGTAAACTTAAGAGGGAAGTGCTGATGAATACGAAAGAGGTGAAGGGCTAGATTGAAAACGGTAACAAACTAGGTGGCAGGAGGGAGTGAAGAAAGAAGTGAGATGGTGCAAGTGAGACGGCGAGGTGAGAAGATTGACATATTTGTGCTTTGCAATCATCCAATATTACTACCAACTAAGGTTAATAACTTAGCATATGTACATTTTGTTCACATGTATGATTGAATCTAATGTACAATTCAATGGTAGGCCTTCAGTGAGTTTTTTTTTTTTTTTTTTTTTGGATTTTCAAAAAAGATCCAAAATTAAGATTAACTTGTGTTGAATTGAAGTTTCAAACATGTAGCACTCAAAAAAATCTGCAATGCTTGTTTAAAATTGATTTTAGGCGACAAGCAAAAGTACAGGAGACTAAAAATATGCGCTTTTGATTCGATTAAACATAATTATATTTTTTCCCATGTGAAAAAGGGAACGAAATAGAAATTAAGATTTTTGTTCAACGTTTCACACAAAAGCAAGTTTGCACTCTGTGAAGGGAAAATACGCAATTGACAAGAAAAACAGTGTGAAAAGAGACGGAAAGCACAAACAAATTACTATTTTTTAAGAAAAATAATGGAAAAGTTGATGAAAAAAAGAGAAAAGAGCGAAAAATTAATGAAAAGTGTGTGCTAAACCAATCTAAATTTTGTCCTGATACCAAATTTATGAACTTTACGCAGTGGAATAGTGAAACCAATTGAAAATATAGAAAAAGAAAAAAAAAAACACAAAACAGTGAATCCTCAATTTGTCTCTGTTGAAACCTCAAGACATCAAATTGCAAAATCCTTGGCAAGAAACCAACAAGTCAAAACAAAGGCAGCAAAATTCAATATTTAATTATTGGTAAGAGTGGGTTCTGAAAATCTCGACGCCACCGGACTATTATTTTTGTGATGTTGTTGAGAGAGTTCTGAGGATCAAAATTTTCAAAGACAGATGGAATAGTGGATAAGACATTGCACATTTTGCGAGGATTTTTTTATCAGGGTTCAAGGTTTTCCAGAGAAACAAGCCCCTCTACGTTTTGATCCGGGGTACGAGTTTTCCCATAGACGCAAGCCCATATGGTTAATTACCCGTCCTGATAACATGAGAGCACTTTCGATTAAGACTAGTCATTAAGAATCGAATGGTCGGCATATAATAGCAGCAACCATACATTTTAAGTTGCAAAACTTATCACTTGAAGTTTAAAGCAGATGGTGGGAAAACGATGACAAACTTGATCAAAAATCTCATGGTTCCGTCTTCACGGGTCATCACGATCCCAGATCTACTTAGAGTAGGTAATCGACTCAATATGACTGAAGCAATTATGGGTTGTGTCATGCGAGGGACCCTTGTAGATATGTGATGGATGTTTATCTAAGGGAACAAATTTAAGTCGACCTTAATTGATCGAAGGTTTTGTGCCAATCAATTGTACCCTTATGGTTCACAACTCAAATTGTAGAAAGTCATTGGAGAACATACGGATCGCAATTGTGATCATAATATAATAGTGTCATTTGACGACAACCTCCAGTTAGATAGCTCTGGTTGTAACCATTACTTTATGGTGTCATTTGACGACAAAACCGCACGGACAGAGGACAGGGCACTGTCGGTCAACTTTTTCTTCGATTGATTAATTATGAAAATATGGTATATGAAAATAATTTTTGAGATTTAATTTAAGTATAAAAGATATATAGTTTGAGTTTTAAAAGTAGTATGTTTTAATTTTTGAAAAATGAGACCAAGTGGATCTCATTCGTCCAATAGTTTGCATAATCGTGTCTGATACCGCGAATACTACACCCTCCCGAAAGATAAGTGTAGACCTCGGCGATAGACCCAATCCTGCAAACTAAGAGATTTGTGACATCCGTTTAGTCAGCGAACCTTTTATATATGACCGACAAGTTCCCCTATTTAATACAAAGATTAAATAGGGCTTATTTTACCTGGGTTCCAAGTTCCCTATAGAGGCAAGCCCCTATAGTTAATTACATC